GAGGGGATGGACCTCATGGTGTGTATCCATGGTCGCCTTATTATGGCATTGTACGATGTGTCTTGGTCCATGATGTGGAACGTGTTCTCCAAAGTGATGCCACCGGCCAGAACGAGGAGTGTGATTTCGCCTAATGTTCGCTCGACTGCATTGTGAAAACCAGTTAGCGTGATGCAATGTGGCACTATCTTATCTTCGAGTTTCATTTGTGCAAGTACTTTAGGGTAGATAATGCACGCACCATTCACATCGTTTACCATAATGCATCTCACATCGGTATCTAAAATTTGTAAAATAATAACAAGGGCATCATAGTGAGGGAAAACCAAACCGTTGGTTTCTGACTTATCGAATATGATACTTTCTTCGGGTTCATTGTACCGTTCGCGGGTGATTGACCGTTTGGGCTTGTGGGTAGTGGTTAACTTTACGCTGTTGATGGAAGCATCTTCGCCACCACCGATGATCATGCGGACGGTGTGGGTTGGTGAGGGCAGTTTCGGTGGTCCTTGATGTTGTTACCGTCCTCTGGCAATGTTGGTCCTTCCCCGGTAGATCAGCAACTCTTTGAGGTGTCCCTGTCGTAACATGTTTACGACCTTCTGCCTTTGGGCGATACAATCTTCGGTTTTTTGCCCTCGTTCTTGATGGAACTCGCAAAGGGCATCCAATTTTCTGGTACTCGGGTCTGAACTCATCTTTTGTGGCCACTTCACCTTTGGTCCGAGCTTCTCCAAGGCATAGACTATTTCTGTAGGTCACACACAAAAGTTGTGAGCAGATAATAAAGGAGGTATACCTCTTTCGTTCTTGTGAGTCCCTGTCTTTAATCTTGGTGAGCCTTTTTCGTGGCTAGAGAAGGGCGCAACGGTCGCTCTGAAATATGGTTGATGTCATTCCCTGTTGGGTCGTGGAGCTACGAGGTCCCTTCTAGTATCATTTCTTCGATCTTTTCTGGATTCGGCATGTACCGAGGTCAGTCGATGAGTTGGTCCATTGAGGTCGTCCTTGTCTGCTCGGACCTCGGCACAATATGCGTTGTGTATTTCATCCCAAGTGGTTGGGGGATACTTTATCAGTCGACTCAATAGCTTTCTAGTCACCCTCGAACCGTCCCTGCTCAGCCCGTTCTGGAAGGCTGCGATTGCCATCCCTTCTGACACGTTCGGTAGGGTCATCCTTACTCGGTTGAAATGGGCGAGGAAGTCCCTCAGTCCATCTCTTAGAGACTGCTTAATAACAAATATGTCGTTAACTCTTGCCTCGACTTTCTTGGCCCCAGCATGGGCCGTTACGAACTAGTCAGCCATCTCTTCGAAAGTTTCAATGGAGCGCGCAAGTAGTTGTGAATACCATGTCAACACTCCTCATGTGAGGGTTTCATCGAATTTCTTCAACAAAATGGAAGATACTTGTTCTTTGGCGAGATCATTGCCTTTCACGACAGTGACGTAGTGAGTCACATGATCTTCAGGGTCAGTCGTGCGATCATATATTTTTAGGTAGGGCGGCATTTTGAAGGTTTTCGGTATGGCATGTGGGGTTGCATCGTCACTGTATGGCTACTCGACGAAACGACTGGCGTCCCTCTTCGGTAACAGTTTGGGGGGCCCCGATATTTTATCGACCCTTTCCTGGTGTTCTTTCATTTGATCTCGGAGTACCTTGTTCTCATTCTCCATTTCCTCCATTCTTTTCAAAATGGTTACAAGAGCGTTATCACCTACATTATCATTAACATTGTGAGTAATACCTTCCGTTGGAGGTGGAGGGAGTTGGTTACACTGTTCGTTCGCCTGTTGTACAGTGCAAATCCTTGCATTTTCTACAGCCACATCTCGGGCGGACTTGTTGAGGACGCCAGTTAGCGCGTCGATTAGCCATGCTTCGAGGAGCTTTTTTTACAGCTGGGGCATCTCTTCCCCCACAGATGTGGAGACTCCCTTACCGAGGGATTTTGTGATGCTGCAATGAAGGGGTGGTGACCCATCTCGCCTAGGGGAGGCATTGGCCGTTGCTGCCTTTACCTGTTGTGTCGCAGCTTTCGTTGATGACGTTCATGAGGTTAGTTGGGAGGTCGTTGATTATCCTCGCCCTTTCTTCCCTGTTACCTGCCATGTTGGGATTTGTGCACATAAAGAAAGGAGATCTTGCATTTTTTTTAGCGTTCGGGATCCGCGTCAGTGATAGATCTAGAAGAAACTAAAAATTTAACTAGAAAATCCCCACAGACTGCGCCAAATTGTTTGACCCAAAAGAGTGATTCTTGGTTCAAATAATTAAATTTATGTATTAAGAGGTTAAACCTAATTAACAATAATATTTCTAGATGCGGGTTATGAAAGCGTGATTAATGTTAAATATATGTGGTAGAAGAATAATAATAGTCCGTGACAATCATCCCAAATAGCATGAATAATAAATGAACAATAAATAGCAATGAACAATAATAAAAGGCATTTGGGTAAATAAAGAAAAGATTCACCCAATAAAGGAGAAGATAGATATTATTCCTTGTGACAATGATATTCGAATTATCCTCGGATCTAGTGGGAAGTATGGAATAATGTGGGCATGAATCTTGATAAAAAGGTGCTGTTTGTCTCTTGGTAAGAGAGAGGGAGAATCTTTTTATCAAAGTGTGTTCTTACAAATGAAAATCACATGCCCTGCATCATTGTCTCTTTTCCTATATATATATGAGACATATCCCTAACAAACTCTAATAGTACAAGTTTAGAGAATATCCACTAGTATATTCTTTTTAATATCCTATTTTGAAAACTAGTCGTTACAGCTCTGTTAATGGTGCTCGACCTCGACCATTGTTGATATCTCGACCACGAATCTCGATGCTTCCTGGTCGACCTCGACTAACCCTTTCCTTAGTGTTATCTTGCCCTAAATATTCTAGGGTAGATTTTGACTTATACAAGCATCATTGCCTAAAACAAGGACAGGAAAGGTAGAGCGGATCTAGGATAGGTTTGGTGGGTAACAGAGCACATTGCTTTTGGCTCAAGCTATATATACATGTGCAAAAGAAATTTAAAGCGTATAGGTATGTCAAGATTGCACTCATTCTATACTCACTGATTCCATATCCTAGATACGGCTCTAAGTAAAGGAAATGGTCATATTATATGGTAGAAAAAAGTACCTGCATGTTGCACTTGACAAGATCGAGGGGGGTGACGGCCATGTGGGTGAGACCGCAGCTCATAACACCTCCGAAAGTACAAGCAGCGTAATAACCAGGTGAGAACATCTCTATCTTACCTGAAGACTCCTTTGGTGCCGGAACCATAAAAGGCTTCTTCGCCATCGCGGATGAAGATGTGTTCATGTCATGATTCTCCAAGTCGGTTATGACATTTCTGTATACAGAGAATGGTGACGAAGAAGCCGTGTTATAAAGAAAAGTGGGAATCAAAGGTTTCCGGGAAGAGTTATGTGTGTAGGCCATTGTAGTAAGGTAAGATAGAGAAGTTCAACACACTTTTGATGTGTACGTGTTGAGTAAATAATGGAAATGGAGATCAAGAAGAAAAAAATTGATATGATACAAAGATGTTTTTGAAGGTGGAGGAGGAAAACAAGGACCGTTAATTAAGTTTCCTACAAGGAAGGAGAATCAAAGAATTCAAGGGCTGTCCTTAATTGCTTTTCCCCTTAGCTTGGCTTTTGGACCATATTTGGCTCCTACTTGTTTTATGAAATTAAGGGTGGCTGTGGCTCTCCTTTCATTTGATTTTTTTGGATGCCCCTGCCTCTTGGTATGCGTTGAATTATATTGAAGCGGTTGACCGTTTCTCCCTTAAAAAAAAAAAATTATAGTCTTAAGAGTTTAACTTATATACAATGATAAATTATTTTGTAATATCAAGTCACCAGAAGATATCTATATATAACCCTCCATAAAAGCTGAAATTTGTAATCTTGAAAATAAAGCATACTTTCATACTATATATATATATATATATATATATATATATATATATATATTAAACTCTAGTTCATATGGTAGTAGAAAAACTTCAATTAGCACAGGCAAATCAAAGATTTTAGTCCAGTGAATGCACACCATCGCATGGGCTACTTCTTTGTGACAATAAATTCGGCGTGATCCATCTCTAACTATATATACAACTTGAGTCGGAGATAGTGGGTTGAGTCGGAGAGAGTGGGTGCATCTACACTAGCTAGTTTTACTTTACATCTGCATTTGTCAATGGAGCCACTGATATTTGAATTTGGATATTGCGATTCGAAGTACGGCCTCTACTCCTCTGGATGTCTCTTTGTTATTACTCCATATTTTTTGCTCAATCAACGAGTGAGGATAGGATCTCAGCCATCAGTCACGTAAGCATACATATCACTTAACTGATAAATGTGTGTGTGTGTATATATATATANGGATTGGCTTCGACGAATACCAAAGAAATGCTTTGCGGTACTTCTGATAGAAGCACGCTGCAAAAATAGTCGTCCTTGTTAATAAGGAAGATGCCACAGAAGACCAAGTAACTAGAAGTATCTTCTACTATATGATTATGCTCGTTCTTTCAAGTGGCGCAAACCTGTTATAGAAATCAACAGTTCAATGTTATCATTCAATGAACAAGATTCAAGCAATGGCACAAACGTAATTGTAGTTTTCCTTCAAAAGGCGTGTTATTCAATAGAGGCTTTTATGCTCGATACGCTATTTGGCCCCAGATGTGGACTATACAGGAAAAGCTTTAAAGAAAAGTATCACAATGCATGGAAACAGCAAAAGGCAAGCATATATAAAGAACATAAAGACAGTGATGGTCCTGATGAAGAATAAATAGTACAAGTTGTTATGTTCGGCAAATACACCGAATAATTGACTGAAAAATGCTTAAGGCCTGATAATCAATTATGATCGGAGATCAATAAGAGAACTAGAACATAATGCTACTTTAGCAACCATTCGCTCTGCAATTTCTATTAGATAATTCACATTATGCTACCTCTTCACAGGTTTCATTATCGTCAAGCTGACATGCTAGAACTTTGTAAGATGCTTCGCAGGACGGATTTTGAATCACCTTGTACTCAGTTATCTTCACCCCTTCATTGGACAGAGATTTTAGAGAGAAAAAAAATAGATAATTTGTCAGGAAATTGCGCCTATAATCCTAAATGATTGTGCACTTCATCTATCCAATAGGATAACACTGTGCATTTCATGGAAATGAACCAGTGGCCATACATATGACAAAACAACATCACCAAGAGAGAAAAAGAGAATCTTCGATCGTTGAACCGAAAAGAAATTACAGAACTGGAACCTTGACCATAACATAGATTGTAGTTTGTTCCATTTGAGAAATTTCATCTGCGTCATTCAGTAGTTTTACATGTATTCAGATTTAATCCACATGAGTGTCTAGTAACTGATTAAATGAGGCAACAACTTTTTAGAAAATTTTGGCATAATACTCCTACAATAGAATTTAGGCATTACAAGTTGATACAGTAAAATGCATGAATTCTTGGAGAATTTTGAGTGCATATGAGATGTCAATCTTATTCGAGAGTTTGATATTTAATACAAGGAAAAAGGGATTGCACACCTCTAGTACAGCTTTAGCTTCATAATTAAATGACTTGCAAAGAATCTCATAATTGGACTGTAGCCCCATCTGCAGTACCAAACAAGAAGAATGTAAAGCTTAAGCAAATTGTGATGAAAACTGAATTTTTGCAGACAGTTGATCTACCTGTGAAGGTGACATGATAGATATCAGGTACCTGCAGAACATTGACGTACAAGAGTTATGGTAACAGGCCATTGGTATATTTCAGGTTAGAGATAAGCATCGGTTATCTAATAATGAGAGGAAGAGACACTGGAAGTAGATTAAGTAACAGGCCATTGGTATTTTTGACTTGTTGAGTCATCCAAAACATATATAAGCATGTCCAATACATCAGTTTGGAATAGTTAACCGTAAAATAATTTTGTCGTATATTTATATGTTCATTCCAACAAGCAAGAGTCAAAGATACAGAAATCTCCTGAAACTTCAAGAATTTTTCTGTTAGCGTCTTCCCCTTTAGCATGATACCCCACATCTTTTGCCAAGATATGACAAGCAATGTTCGATTAAAGAGGATATATCTTTTGGCGAATTTTACATATGGAACCACTTAATGATAAATATTGATTCCAGATGACAGTGAATTTGATTATTGGTACATGCAGTGATGCATAAAAAAAGAGGATGAATACTATAGTTTTCTATAAAAGTAAAAAAGTATGATTTACTTATACTCAAAGTGTAGCTACCTAAGGTTATTATAATTTTGTTGCTTCATATATTGATACTTCAATACCATCATCATGTAAACGGCATCTGCTAAATGGAAATAAAATACTAATCTAACATATTGATACATCACCTTAGCTTATTCCTATAAAAGTTCATTGCCGTCATGTTTGCTTTCTGAACAGTTAGCACCACGGCACTCATTTTGCTCTGCAAAGTGATAGCTTTTGTTAGCACTTGAAAATGTCCACTCTACTGCAAGACAAGTATCTCCATGAGTGAAGAAACATACTACAGAAATTTTCAGCAGTGCTGTGACTAAGTGTCTTCAAATTAATATGTTAGCTTCTCCACCACCATAATTTTAGGAATCAAACTGAAACAACAAATATTTATAATACATGGGAATGAGGAAAGATTAGTCCATCACCTTCTGAGCAATCAGCTCAATTAGCAGCATTAAGAACTTTCCCAGCCCCTTCCCCTGAACACGGTGCTCAAGCTGTAATTCATACACATAAAGAACAGGAATTTCTTCCTCGATGGTGAAGCGATAATGTACAAAAGCCACAAGATGACCCTTATCATCTGTACCGTCTGCGTTACTCCTTCCTTTCTTTGATAATTTGAACATAATGTTGGCATCCGCATTTACGGTCTCATAGACAAATATATAACGAGCTTCAGAAGAAACCATCTGCCTGCGCTTTACTTTCTCTTCTTCAGGCCATTCTGTTCCATATGCCGGCTCCATATTCACCTGTAAAAGGCATATACCTTCAGAAAAGAGGAAATATCCCTATCATCATTGATTTGTTGTTGCAGCTAAGCTCGAATATAATAAGATAGCCAAGTTTGATACCTTGAGAAGGTTTTGAATATACTGCTTTACTGAAGAAGAGAGGTTATCTCCGCGTCCAGAGTCCAAGTACACAGACAAATCTAGTGATCAAAATCAACTATACATTACGCATACAAAAATTGAATAGAGTATAACAGTAAACAACTATAACAGACTATAATTACATAGTTTTCCTGGCCTTGATCAAGAATTATGAATTTAAAAATGCTTTATTTAATACATGAAATTCATTATTTTTCACATATTTTAATCATATTTGATGATACTATATGTATAGAGTGCAAATATAAGTTCATAAACATTCAAAAAAGTTATGTTTCTTAGATTAGTATCATGTGCAAATACATACTCACATAACCATCATTAATTGATGGAGTAAAATTTTATGTAAAAGATTGACTACATTGGTGCAATGGGAGCT